ATTTGCCCTTCTGTGTTTCAAAATATCCATAATAAAAAGTTACAAAAAAAGAAAAGAGAAAAAACTGCATAAAGTGTTGAAGTATGTTCAAGTTAGGTCGCTACGTTTATTTGTTTGCATTTTGAGATAGGTTTTTAAGAATTTCTTCTTGGGCCCATATAAAATCATTTCAATTATTCACCGTCTCAAACATAGTGCTCTGTGCAAATGTTAGGATAAAGATATTTTATCCGAGAGATTATTTACTATAGAACAAATATGGTTTGCATTCTCGATTTTAGACTCCTCCTTCAATGGAATACCATTGAGTCAATTTGTTATGTTCCTATGTTTCAGGTTATCCTAATAGTTGTTGGGAATAAAACAATGAATGGCACATGGGCTCTGTGTAGAAGTATATGCTTTCTGATAGTTTTCTCTGTTTAGACTGGCAATACCCCTTCATTCACAATGCCTAGCATTGACTAATAGTAACTGTTTCTTGACTGAGTAAAGGAATGTTTTTAGTTATGTTAAGCAAAACTTGTTTTAATGGATCTTTCTTGTTGTTTAGTTTTATATAAACTAAGAAGAAATTATGCTGAAAAACCAATTAGTCTTCAATTTATTCCTTAACATCTCTCTCTTCCAATATTGAGTTGTCAAAGAATATATGACAAGCATAGATTCTGATGACATTCCTTTTCAAAAGAACTTATAGATCAATGTTTAGTTAAAAGTTACTTCTTTTTTAAGCTTTTCCAAAGTAGACAAATGTAAATAAAAAGAGGGTTTAGGGGCTGGCTGGTGGCTAAGTGGTTAAGTTCGCACACTCCGCTAGGGCGGCCCATTGTTTCACCGGTTCGAATCCTGGGCGTGGACATGGCACTGCTCATCAAGCCATGCTGAGGTGGTGTCCCACATGCCACAGCTAGAAGGACCCACAACTAAGAATATACAACTATGTACCGGGGGGCTTTGGGGAGAAAAAGGAAAAAAGTAAAATCATTAAAAAAAAAAAAGGTTTAATTACTTATTTATCCTTTTAGCTATCTAATGGAATCCCTATAGAAAGCTGGTTTATGGATAAAAATGACAATGAACTCCTAAAATTGATTCCATTTCTGGAGAAGCTTGTAGAACTGGTAAGTATATCTTATCATTTATCTTTTTGTGTTATGTTTTTGTTGCCCCAACTCTACTGAAGTAAATCTTTTAAATTGCTCAACTTAATGTGTACTGACTTTCTAAGTCAATGTGGTGGGAGATTAGGGCAGGTTGAAAAGGATTACAAGCATTTTCAAACCTTATACATTATATTAAAATTATGCTTATCAGTATTTAAAAATTTATAGGTTGAATGTTTTTTTTAATTGGGCTTCCTTTTACAAGTCACAAACTAGTTGTGTTAAATTGATTTCATTTTCTTTTCATAGTTGAGGTCTAGAATTAATGCTTGTGCTACTGAAACTTTATTCTGGGAGTTCTTTTTCCTATATCCATGGATTAATTTTAAAACTAATGTATAAATTAGAATTCGGGGCTTAACACTTTTACCTAACTTTTGGCTTGGCTTTCTATTGCATAATTGTTCTTAGAAAATTAAAACTTTAATGATAGTGCTTTTTAAAAATCTAAATTTAATTCTAAGTTAACTGCTTCTGTGTAGTATCTTTATATATAAGCAAACAAAATAATGTAAGTTGTAAAATAAGTAGTGATATATTTTCTCTGCAAAGTAAGAATGTTCATAATGTTATGAGGATCATATCTTTGAAATTATGTGGCTTTTAAAATGTCTTTTTTTTTTTTCACACAGAATGAAGATGTTCGACCTCACATCAGAGACAGATTTCGCTTGCATGATTTGCTGCCCCCAGATTAAGTACAAAGACTTGTCAAATCACTGAAGGGGGAGAGAATGCAGGACCCTTTTGGACTAAGACAAAAACATTGCCATTACTGTTGAAATTTTGCATTTTTGTACCCCGTCTTGCTTTTCTTATCTTTGGTGCCCAATAATAATCAAGGGTTACAGAAAGAGACTTTATCTCAGATTGAATACATACAGTAGGTAGGCTAAAACAGAAGAGTCTTTAGAACTAGTGCAACTCCAGTGAAATTTTTTTATGTACAGGACATCTGCAGTTTATAAAGAATTCTGTTTCTGCCACCAGCAGTTTGACCTGTAGTCACACAGGATTTTATGATAATAACAGAGATGAAAATGGACTTTTATTTTCTCTCTGTTTGGTGCTCTAAGTGGGTTTGTAGCCACTTTTCTGTTACTTTAAGATTCTCATTTCAACAGGAATGGCCAGTAAAAGTTGTTTTATTTTTCCTGTTAAGGTTTATAACCTTTTTACATTTTTGACCTGTATTAGATTAGAATTTCATTATGCATTCCTTTTAGTTGAGGCGCTTCATAGTTTTCTGGAAATAGTCAATTTTTAGTTTTTTATTATACATTTGAATGGCCGTTTTCCTGCTTTGTCTGCCTGCATATTGTATATTTGTTTAAAAATATTCTCTACTTTTAGTCCATGTAAGTTTCATTTAGAAAGACATGCATTTATATTTTGTTTCTGTAATATTCTACTGTAGGTGAAATCTTTTCAAAAATCAAGAGACTGGTTAGATAAGAATATATGAATGACTAATATTCAAAAGATTTAAACCATTGTGATGGCATGTGTTCCCAAATGGTAATATCTTGCAATGGCACACAGATTTAATGGATAAAGGTATACCTCAGACTTCACTGTGCTCACCAATCTTTGAGGAGAATGAGTTTGGTCACCTGCTGGGCTTGATTTGGTTACTGCTGCCTTTGGTTTTCTCCAGGAATGAAGTATTCAGCACAGTGACTCAGTATTTTTAGTTATTTTGCATGGGCTGGTAGTACCTCTGTTATGCTCTCGGTTACAATCAATTTAAAACTCTGTGTAACAGTCTTGGTACCTTACAGTAGCTATGCATAATCCTGTGGCACAGTAAACTCCCAAGCCACCAATGCAGTCAATATGCTCTCATAGTGGTTTTCTATGCTATATGAAAATAGTCTTCAAGCCTTGGTTCTCTAATGCAGCTACCACAAGAGGTTGATATTTTTATAGTGGCGTGTAATCTCCTTTTCCGGAGGCTTTTTATGGAAGGTAGAATTTGTAAAAGTTAGTATGCTTTGCCTCTCAACTGCATTAACATGCCACAGGCTCAGACTGTTTTTGTGTAAAGGATGTCAAAGAACGGCACTTTTTCTAAAGAGAAGTTTGATATTTTGTATGCTTGTTAAGAAAGTACAGTATTGGAAATTAAAGGTGGACAACTGATAATTGAGGAGTATGTCACTTAATTTTTTATGTATATTACCTGTTTACTTGTACAACTTATTGTACAAATTACATGCAGCTTCATTTTCAAATGAATCCTTAAAATAAGGAAATCTTTTTAGGAAAACATTTAATTTTTGTATTTTTGATTTTAAAGGCATGAGTTATGTCAATTTTCAGTGTATTAATGAAGATTTTAACTTTTCATCAGGTTGAGTGTTTTCTTACTATATTATCTGTTGTGTATGTAGTTAGCATATTGTGTCACTGAACTGTTTAAAAATCTAGCATGTAGAGCAAGCCTGTTTTGTGGAAGATCCTTATTCATTAAAAAATAATCATGGCAGATTTTCTGCAAAAAAAAAGCAAAAGCATTTGCAATTCAGAATACTGGGGTTTTTTTGTTTGTTTTTGTTTTAATTTAAAGAAAGGTATTTTGCTTGCAGGAAAAAATACTACAGATTCATTTTAGTGAGAATCTTTGAAATGTATTTATCTTTAGGGCATCTGGGCATCTTTATGCTGTTTGTCTTCTGTCTTTCTTGAAATAAAATGTACATACGTTACCTTTACATATGCTCTTGCTCAAAATTGTGAACCTAGTTACATTTCTCCTTGTTCCCTTTTTATGCTCAAACAGCAAAACCCAAAACCTATATGAGATTTAAACTTTCAGCGTACATGATAATTGCTGAAAGCTTTTCTGATTAAGTAAATACAGTCTCAAAGGGCTTTCCCGTAACTTATAGGGAAATGTAAGCACCTATACTATTGTGCCTGTGGGCACTTTAAATAAACATCAACTTTTAATCATCTTTTATTAATGGTAAAGCTGTTTTCAGTCCCATGCTAGGAGAGTTATTTTAAGTTGACTGACAAATGAATCAAGCGTAACAAGATTTTGAAAAGAAAGAAACTAAGGGAAATTTAATATGACCTGGGAAAATTTCTTGAGGCCAATTTAATTTGTTGTTAATGTAGAATTTAAAATAATTTATAAAGAGACAATTATCCAGCTTCCTTCCACCTTAGTATGTTTTATCTCCTCATTATCCCTTCTTTTCTTTATCTGTTGGTAGATGTCATCTTAAACACTTCCATTTAGTAAAGCGGAAGTGTCTGTTTTATGAATTGAGATGTGCCCAGTCCCTTCAGTTCACACAGGAAACATGAACTCTTAAGAACTGAGTGTAGTAAATGCAGGAAGGAGGATACCTAAGACACAGCAAAAGGGACCTATATACACATTATAACTCTAAAGTACATATTACAATTGTGATTTTCCATAAATGTCTGACTTTTAAGACATTCTTTTAAATATTTGTATTATTGTTAGGATGTTTTAATCAGTTATGTTTTTTAATTCCATGTAATATATGTAGCCCTAATCAGATTTATATCACCATATTTCTCCTTGGGTCTTAAAAAGAGAGTGGATAACAATTTGAAAGCATAAATTGTTTTATATTAGCTAGTATGTATATTTATTTACCTGATGGCTTTATCTCATTTCCCAAAATTTTGGGGGGGTTTGTTGAAAGCATTGTAACTTCTATAAATTGCTATTTTCTTGTAATTGTCAGTGAAAATGGATGTGTACATTGTTTTTTTATACTACTCTGGTTTTTCTGGTTTGCTTTTGGGTTTTTTTTTTTTTAGGGTTAATCATAGAATGGTTAAAAAAAAAGTTACCTTTGGCCAATGACTTCTTCAGCTAGATATTACTTTCATTCGACCTTCTAAAGAAGTTTGTTTTTCATTGTTTTGTTCAACTTGCCTGAAAAACAGAGACTTCATCTCATCATTGAAGAAAGCATTTTATTATTCCTACAAATCTTTACAGCGAGCACAGAATTCTTCATAAGGACCAGATCTCTTCCACGTCTTGTGTCAATCACATAAAGCTGAAATGTAAAGGACACTGAAGCCTTCATTTAATTGTACTAACATGATGGTGTTATATACTACATCATTAGCTAGTTAAGGTTTTCTGACTTGACTTCTCTTTGTCTTCCTAGGTATTTATTTGTTATCTCTTATAATCTTGTGTATCTAAATTAACTTAGTTAATAGTTACCAACTGAATAACTATGCCAAGCAACTAGGAAAGAATGTTTATTTTATTTCCCCTTATAGGGGAAGAGTGGACTGGGAACAAAAATGTATGGGCCGAAAGGCCTTAGGTTGTCATTCATTCACTTTCTTATTCCTCTCATGAGCTATATTTGAGTATAGTATTTTTTCAGTGCTGATGTGCTTGATTATGTCATTACTTTTCATGTCTTCCCCTGAGTTGAGAGCCTGCTAGGAACCTGTATAAAATACATGTTAAATTTCAGAATAAGAACCACAAAACTCAGTATCTTATATTTAAATGCTACTTAAATTATTATTGGAATCCAAGTCTCACTCACTAGGATACATTTTTATAAAATGTTTCTGTGTATCTTGAATTGAAATTACTTGCCCAGAGGCAAGAGTTCTGGGGATATAATGTGTTTTGAGAAATTTTTAAAAGGGGAATAAAAGAACAAGTTTATACTTAGTTACTTTATGGTTTTGATATTAGTTAGTATTTTAAAATACATCAGGGGTTCCCAAACCTGACTGTTCATTAGAATTACTCTGAGGAGCTTTTGAAATACAGATTCCCGAGGCTTAGCCCCTGCAAAATTCTCTCACTGTGTCTGGAGTGGGGCCTGAGAGTTCTGTGTCTTTTAAAAGCTCTCCAAGTGATTCTAATAGCCAGGTTTGGGAAATCACTGTTTTAAATGATGTGACAGCGGTTTGAGAGTAGGCAACAAAATAAAAGTTTACCAGACATCTCTTTGTGGTAGAGTTTTCTTTTTCTTTTTTTAAACTGGGACCAGATTTCACAGAACTTATTCAAGATACATGGAGGAATAATAAAGAAGATTGAGGCTACTGCTCATTATCATTCTTAACTTTCATACTTTTTAAGAGATTGCATTTCTAGCACTTGGAATAGCTGATCATATACACAGCTGAAGGACATATCCCTGAATGAGACCATTATATATATTAACTGTAAAATATTTCACTATTTTTTTATTTTATAAATCTTTGTAGAAATAAGCAATGAAATACTACGTTCGTCTTTTGAAATGGGATTTTTCAAGGCAGTGTCCTTTTTGCATTAAGGTAGGGGGGAGTTAATATTCTCTCTGCCTTTTTCCACATGAATCAATATAAAGTCCTGGACATTTAAAAATCTCAATTTAGTTTCTACTTATTTACTATGCAGTATAGCCGTGAACAAGTAATGTAGATTTAGTTTTCTCATCTTCAAATGCCCTGATCACCCTACCTCACAGGGTTGTTGTGGGGATAAATAAAACTTTTATGGAAGAACTTTTCTTTGATGATATTTTATCAGCCATTAGAAACAATATAATATCAATAAGATTTTTATAGTGCTTTTTTTGTTTACAAGTATGTAGTTTTTTCACATTACTTTCCCTTTTGATGATCTTCAGGACATCTGTAAGGAACATCGAGTATATTACAGATAAGGAAACTGAGGCTCGGAGAGGGCTGTAGCCCAAGACCTCACAGCTCTTCTGGGAGACTTGAGTTCAGGTATCACTACAACATGCTATTTCCCAAGGCCTTGGCATTCTTGTCTAGTCATGTTTGCATGTAAATACAAAGCTTTCTCAAGTTTATAAATCAACTTAGCCAACAAAATTTTCTTAAAAAGGAATATAGAAACTTGATTCAAAAATTTGTGGTACATATTAGGCTCTAGAGTTCTTTTTTTTTTTAATTGAGTTAACGATAGGTTACAATCTTGTGAAATTTCAGTTGTACATTATTGTCTGTCAGTCGTGTTGTAGGTGCAACCCTTCACCCTTTGTGTCCACCCCGCATCCCTTTCCCCTGGTAGCCACTAATCTGTTCTCTTTGTCCACATGTTTAAATTCCTCATATGAGTGGAGTCATACAGAGATTGTCCTTCTGTATCTGGCTTATTCACTTAACATAATTCCCTGAAGGTCCATCCATGTTGTTGCAAGTGAGGTCCTAGAGTTTTAACGATCCAATTTTAAACTGGAAGAAAATACCAAATTCTAAGTGTACCCCTTTATTTTACAGATAAGGAAATGTATCTAGAAAAGTGTCTTCCCAAGATCACAGAGCTAGGATTAGAATCTAGGTCTCTTAATTACAATTACTGAATGACTTTAGGAGGAATAATAGTCTTAATTTCTGGAATTACTGTGTGCAGAAGTGAAATAAAACATTTGAATGATACCAGAAAAAAGGAGGGGTTAGTTTTGAAAAGTAGAGAGAAAATAGCAAGAAAGAACCAGATTATGGTGAGCTAAATGAGGCATTTATACTTGATGTAACAGGCTAATAATAACTTGAACCAGTATAACTACAAAATAGCACTCTGGTCCCACCCAATCTCCGTGATGAGACTTTTTTCTCAAGCTTTATTGAGTCAAATTGATGTATAACATTGTGTAAGTTTAAGGTGTATGATGTGATATGATGTATATATTATGAAATGTTTAGCACAATAAGGTTAGTTAACACATCCTTCATCTCACATTCATTACCATTTTTGTTACAGTGAAAACATTTAAGATCTCATAACTTTCAAGTATAGGATACAGTATTGTTAATTATAATCACCATGCTGTACGTTAGATCCCTGGAACATTAGATCCTCATACAACTGGAAGTCTGTACCCTTTGAGTAACATCTCTTCATTCTCCCCCAGCCCCAGCCCCTGGCTGTGATGAAACTTTTGATTACTATTTTCCCTAAGTTCCAAAGGAGTTTAATGCCCAGACAGGTTTGAGAATCACTGCAGTAGGCCTTTAGAGAGAAATGACTGGATTTCAGGTGAACAGTTGACTTGGGAGAATGGTTAATGAAAGGAGCATAAAGTTCAGAGGCAAAAGACTGGAATTCAAGTCCTTGATAACTCATTCACTTACTAGACAAAGCAGTTCTCTGGGCCTCAGTTTGTTCATCTGTAAAATGAACCAAAGCTTTACCTTCCAGAATTATAAAGATGAAACATGTCAAAGCATGTTATAAACTATATACAGTACAAATAACTACAGGATGGAAATGTTCAAGCAGCTAATAGTTCTCTTGAGGGTATGTTGAGAGAGAGGGTTTGGGGAGAAGTCTGAAGCTAGAGGGCAGGAATTGACAGTAGAATCAGGGTATTGTAATATCACAGATGTCAGGGAGAGTCTTTAAGAAAGATGAGCAGTAAGGTGTATTCAAATGAAGACTGGAAAAGTGATAATGGAGAGATTACCTTTGACTAAGAACATATTTGATGAAAATATGCTGAGTGTTAAGGAAGAAATGGGTGATGAAGAGTGAGTGTTGAATAGCTTGAGATGTCTGGTAAGAAATTGGGGTAGCAGGCTCATATAAAGGATTTGCCAAGTAGAAGTCTTAGTATTGGATGAACCAAATAAGTGGAGCTGTTGGCTGCCATACGATGAGCTTTAATGTTGTTTGATATATAGCAATATTTGTTGAAGGTAGCTAAAAGTAGCCCTCTTGATGACATTGCCTTACTATGTGTTAGTATGTCAGGCTCTGCAAATGGCAGAAGAAAGCAAAGCTGACACTGCCCTCAAGCTTACAGTCTAGTGGTAGAGACTGACGTTAATTACTCTTGGGAAAAGTGTCACAATGGAGAAGAATGGCTTTGAGCATGCAAATAACACAGTCTACTCTGGAAGTCAGACTTGAGTTGGCTGAAGAATTAAGTTGAGATCTGTAGAATATTTATGGAAAGAATATAAAGCCAGGCTTAGGTGAGGGGGTGGGGGGGGATGGTAAAAATCTAGCAAAGGAGTAAATGATTAAATTTATCTTAAAAAGATCACTTTGGATGCTGCATTGGGCATAGAGTTGGGGCAGCGGGAGACCAGTAAGAGAGTTATATGGAAGTTGACCTAATTCTCCACACATTGTATTCCCTTTCTCCAAGACAACAAACAGCTAATGCATTGAGCACTAGCATCATAATGGACAATCCGAGGTCAAGAGACTGGTAAAGTCCGAGGGAGTATAGCTTGTCCAGTCTACTGACAGGTGTAGAAAGGCACCTCAGGATTTTATGGCACCGTACAAAAGTAAGTATGGAAAAATGTATAGGAGTTGAGTGGAGACATGCCATTTCACATCTCGTAAGATTCTTGGGTAAGCTTTTTTTGGGGAGAGGGAGGTTAAAATGGGAAAAGTCGTTCAATTAGTTGTTTCTATATCAAATCATATAAATTAACTTTTTATATATGTAATGAATCAGTGATTTGGGTACTGTAAGTGAGGGTTTTTCTTTTTGTTTTTTTGGTGTGTGTGGTGAGGGAGATTGGCCCTGAGCTAATGTCTGTTGCCAATCTTCCCTTTTTGTTGCTTGAGGAAGATTGTTGCTGAGCTAAGATCTGTGCCAATCTTCCTCTGTTTTTGTATGTGGGTCTACCCACAGCATGGCTTGATGAGCAGTGTTAGGTCTAGGCCCAGGATCCAAACCCCCGGCCACCAAAGCAGAGCATGCAAACTTAACCACTATGCCACTGGGCCATACTGGTGTGGAAAGAGCATTGTAGACAGAAAGTACAGCAAGTACAAAGTCCAAAAATAGGAAAAGGCTTAGTAGGCCCTGTACAAGAGGGCTGGTAGCAGTGAAGTTAATGAAAGAGAATGGCATAAGGGGGTTGGTGGGAGGAGGCAGGAGTCAGACTATAGGGTCTTGTAGGCCATAGTAAGGAGTTGGATTTTACCCTAAAAATAACAAGCCGCTAAAGGGATTTCACCTGAGAGGAAGGGTGTCACGATCTGATTTACATTTTTAAATTAAAAAACTGCCTAGTGTGTAGTGAATGGATTGTGGAGAGGGAAGGGTGGAAGCAGGAAAACAAATTGGGAGGTAATAGTAGAAAAGTCTAGAGAAAACTTGGATTGAGGTGGTAGCAAGAGACATGACGTAATTAAATGAATTCAAGATTAATATTGGTAGTAAATCACAGAACTTGCTGAAGGATTGAATTTAGAGGGTGAGAGAGAGGAAGAAAGCAAGGAGAGCTCCCAGCTTTTTGACTTGAGCACCTATAGACGGCTGTCACCACCAGTCAATCTCCAAAGGCATTATCTTCTAGGTACTTCTCCCTTCCCTTCCTCCTCCACATCCAGTCAGTCACTGTAGTAGTCAGGATTATCCGGAGAAAAAGAACCAACAGGATGTGTATAGAGAGAAAGAGACTTATTTTAAGGATTTGGTTTGCAGGATTGTGGGATCTGGCAAGTCCAAAAGCTGCAGGGCAGGCCAGCAGGCTGGAGACCCAGGGAAGAGCTGATGCTGCAGAGTCCAAAGGCAGTCTGGAGGTAGAATTCCTTTTTCCTCAGTATGTTTTCTCAAGGCCTTCAACTGATTGGGTGAGACCCATCCACATTAGGGAGGGTAATCTGCTTCACTCAAAGTCTACTATTTAACTGTTAATTGCATACAACAAATACATTTGCAGCAACAACTAGACTAGTATTTGACCAAAAACTGGGTACCATGGCCTAGCCAAGTTGACACACAAAATTAACCAGCACAGTCACTAAATTCTGTAGATTTTGACCCTTAAATATTTCTCAGATTGGTTCATTCCTTTCTGTGGCCATTGCCTTACTTTTAGGCTTGTGTTCTTGTCATTTAATTAATTCATAAAATATTTACTTATGTATTAGATACTGTGCCAAATAGTGGAGATACAACTGTGAATAAAAGATAGATTGTGTGGGGCCAGCCCGGTGGTGCAGCAGTTAAGTTTGCATGTTCTGCTTCGGCGGCCTGGGGTTCGCTGGTTTGGATCCTGGGTGTGGACATGGCACCGCTTGGCAAGCCATGCTGCGGCAGGCGTCCCACATATAAAGTAGAGGAAGATGGGCACAGATGTTAGCTCAGAGCCAGTCTTCCTCAGCAAAAAGAGGAGGATTGGCAGCAGATATTAGCTGACGGCTAATCTTCCTCAAAAAAAAAAAAAAAAAAAAGATTGTGACTGTGTCCTAAGGACCTTACATTCCAGTCTTTCCCTGCCCTCTGTCTTGCCTCGTTCCAATCCATCATTATAAATGGATGCCTGTATATCATTGCCTCTCACACTTTAATATGCAAAGTTTCATCTGAGGATCTTGTTAAAAGGCAGATTCTGATTCAGTAGGTCTGGGACGTGGCCTGAGATTCTGTATTTCTAACAAGCTCCCAAGGTGTTGCTGCTGATGGAGAACAAACTGAGTAACTGGGCTGTAGTCTCTCTCTTTTTTTTTTTTTTTGGTGAGGAAGATTGTCCCTGAGCTAACATATGTTGCCAATCTTCCTCTATTTTGTATGCGGGACTCTGCCACAGCATGGCTTGAGGAGTGGTGTGCGGGTGCGGGCCTGGATCAGAACCCCAAAGTGGGCCGCTGAAGCCGACGGCAGAACTTAACCACTATGCCATCAGCCCACCCCTAGAATATCTCTTGAAAGACCATCTTGATGAAATGTGTATTTGTAGACTCTCTGAAAAGATACACAAGAAATGGGGAACAATGGTTGCTGCTAGAAAGAACAGAATGGCTGATAATCGTCTATACCCTTTTATAACTTGAATGTTGTGCCGAGTACATATTCGTAAGTAAATTAAAATATCTGAAACTGCTCTCTTAAAACCCTGCAGCGCAGCCCAGTGGCCCAAAGGGCAGAGTGCAGCTTAGCCCATCGTAAGCCCTACATTATGGTCAGTTTACCTGCTCCGTTTATCTGGATTGGGCCACTCTCAGGTGAGGGACCATATGCGTTCTTTTCATGGGAAATGCACTAATTTCACTTGGTCATTCAAACTCCAATTTCTGCAGCGCTTACCTCAAGAAGCTTTTCATGCATCCTCCCGCTCCTCCCGCCGTTAATATTATCTTTTTACATTTAACCTCATAATGTTTCTTTTTGTTGCAGTCATCACACTGTGTCGAAACTTGTTTACACGTCTATCTTTGTTACCTGATTATGCGCTCCTTGAGGACAAGGCTAGAGTTTATGCCTAGAGCAGACTGAGTTTCGAAATTATTCTGCTAAATAATGAATCATGTCCTGGCCTCATGGGGCTCACAGCACAGGAAAATCCTCGAGCACTGGGGTTCTCTTCGATCCCTTCGTGACTAACTCGAGGCAAACGTCCCAGAAGCCGACTCCAAGCACCCTGGCTGGGAAGACTGCCGGGAAGGCGGCCCTCTCCGCTCGCTCCTTCCCGGGCGCCCCGCGCACGCCGGCTTCCCCAGGCATCTCTCCTCCCCCAGCGCGTGACTGCGCCCTCCGGGGGTCGGGGAGGCCGGTCCACCGCCCCCACAGACGGGCGTGGCGCTCAAAGCCAGCTTCTGAGCGTGGCGTGGAGAGCCTGGGGGTCTCCTTGGTATCCACAAGCGGCCACGGGCGGCGATCAAAGTGATCAGAGGAAGGGCGCACCCGAGCAGGCGGGGCTGGGGTTGGCAGGCGAGGGGTGGCGAGAACGGGCGAGGCCCAAGCGCTAGGCAAGGGACTGCGCGGCTAACTTCCCCGCACTCACGTTTCCTCCCCGGGGACCCAGGCTGGGGTGGCGATCTCCTGGCCGCTTCATCTCTCCCCGCCCCACCATCCTCCAGAACCGCTCCGCGCCGTGGGGTACTGGACGCTCGGGGTCGCCCCCCGCCCTCCCCACGCTCCGCTGGCCGTGTTCCACGCCCCCTTCCCGCCCGCGCGCGCGTCGCCGCCGCCACCCGAGGGGGCGGGGCTTGGGTCCCGGCGTAGTCAGCCACGGTCCCAGCCTGCCCCGCGCCGGCCAACGAGAGCAAATCCAGTGACTCACCTCCGCCGCGCTAACTCCGCTCGCGCTCCCCTCACACACGCTCACGCCCGGCTCGAGATGGCGGCGGCGGCGGCAGCGGCGGGGGACTCGGACTCCTGGGGTGAGGAGAAGTTCCGGGGGCAGGGCCCGGGCCGGCGCTGGCCTCACGCCGAGGCAGGCACTAACGCGGCTCGCTCTCTTCCGTAGACGCGGACACGTTCTCCGTGGAAGACCCGGTGCGGAAGGTGGGGGGCGGCGGCACCGCCGGCGGGGATCGCTGGGAAGGCGAGGACGAGGACGAGGACGTCAAGGTGGGTGCGGGCCGGGGCTCCGGGCAGCGCGGGAGCGGGCTGGCGCCGTCGCGGGCGGGATTCCCCGCCGACGGGCGGACGGGCGGACTCTGGGCCCAGCGGCGCCGCCCGGGCCTGCGGGCCGTGGGTCCAGGCGCCAGCGTAGGGCCCGGCGGTGCCCTCTTCCCCTCCGCTCGCCGGCTGTATAGGCCGGGGACGGGCAGCGTGGCCTCGGTCTTCCTTGGCGAGCGCGGCGGCCCGGGCCCTAGCCCTTCTTGGAGGGTCCGCGTCCCGGGCTGCATTCCACCCACCAGCTGGCGACAGGAGGTGACAGCAGCGGCCGGGCCGGTCCACGTGCAAACTTCGCTGTCCGGAGTCGCTCGCCGGGATGAGACGGGGAAGTTGGGGATTGAACCGCATGGCTCGTCCCATATGGAAAGTCTTGCAACCCACCTGCTTTTTCGAGCTGAGGTCTCCCCAGGGCCGGTAACTAATTTATGTCCCCGAAGGCCCAGTTGTAGTATTTGTTCGAGCAGTTAGGTGAGTGAAATGTTGTTTAATTTCAACCTGTTTTTCACATAAGACAAATAAAAACAGCAAAGCGACATAACTTTTAGCCTTCCTTCCCCGACCCTGGGGTAAAAGGATAAACTGAGTCCTGAGATAGCCAGGGGTCAGAAACCTGAAAAATGGGGAGTTGACAGGAGTGAGTTATTCATCTAAACACGAACGATGTCCAAGAAAATATGGAAGATTTGGTGGTTGGAGTAGACGAGGGAGGCCAGTGTTTATTTTTTCCTATGCCTTGTAGGTCTGAACCAGATACGCCTTAGTCGTTTGGTTTTGAGAACTCTTGGGGGCTCATCATATGGCTTCAGATGACATCAGGACTACTGCATTCCTCGTGGGTTTTTTTTTCTTCTTTTAAGTAGCTACGAAAGTCTCAAGCCCAGAATGTTAAGACCCTTACTAACAAAATTCTCAAAATCTTTTTATGCTATATTTGTGCAGATAAAGTTTTGTATGGATTGGAAATGGTTTTTTTGTGGTTTTGATTCATTTAGTGAATGTTTTACTCTCCTAACGTCTCCCTTTCAGCATATACTGAGAACCCTACAATTTTTCTGCTTGGGTTGAAAAAATTTCTGCTAGCTAATCACTATGGACTTAGTACTGCTTTTGTTTGGATTTTACCCTTTTCTTCTGAGTCTGATGAGGTGGATGTTCAGTTTATCAAACAGCCAGGTTCAAGAATGAAGGGAGCTTTGCACACATTGGGTTTAATAAAAAGAGCAGTACTGTTGTGAAGATACTCAGATGGTTCATTAACGTGTTGTGTAGATGTGGGAATGGATTGTGTTGTCAGCCTCATTGCAAGATATTAGTTATCTTCCCATGTTGTAGCGAACTTTCTGTTTTGAGCCTTTAGTTCACATTGGTCCCTTCACTTTTTCTATGCATACTGGATGCAGCAGTTAAGACATCTGTTATGAAAGTTGGGAATAAGTTAGCAAATGAGAAGAAAAGATTAGAGAAATCAGGAAAGAAGTACCAGAAAATGAAGTTTGAATGGAGTAGTCGGGACTGATTGTGAAGTAGCCTGCCTGAGATTATTGAATCTAAATGGTATCAATCTTGATAAATATAATTCTGACCACTTGGAACTAGTTTTGGAGATTTACAAGTTGTAAGGGACCAGAAAGATCATCTTGTCCAGTCACTCTTTCAGTGCAGAGTCTCTTTCTTTTATACAAATAACTTATTTCTTTTATATAGCCTTTGATGTTGATCTTGGAGAAGAAAGCTGAACTTATCCATTTTATTTCCAAGTTGAAATGTTGGTTTATTTCTGTTGAGGTTCTCCAAGATTCCCAAGGTATGGTATCTATGGAGTAGTTTGATTCCTGGGCTTTGGAATTGGGCCGACCTGGGATTTTATTGTTGCCTTGACATTTCTATATTTGTAGTCATAAATAAGTTTTTTAATCTTTCTTTCTTAGTTTCTCAATCTGTAAATTGTCATTATAGGAGCTACCTAGGGGTTGTTTTGTATTTTAAGTGAGATACTAAGTCAAGCATTCAGCAGAGTTGCCTGGTACTTGGTAGGCACTCAGTAAGTGTTAATTCTCTCTCACTTCAAGATGTAGTCTTAATTTTTCTGGCTAATGGAAAATATGCTTAAGTTGTTTAGATCTAGTATCTGGGGCTTATTTTGTGCCACGTTTCGTGATTTCCTAAGCTCAGAAGGGGTAAGTTCTCTCCACAGTGGCTATTTACTGTGAATTTTGTGTTTTGAATGGAGTGACCATGATTCTCAAGCAAGTTTTTGCTTGCTCAGGGTTACCAATCTAGAGTTGAATTTTGTCAGCTTGGATGGTAGTGGATAATACCAAATTTCTGAATTCTAATGTTTTAGTACTTAATCCTTTTGTAAGGAAAAGCAAACAAGGCTTGGTTTCCGTAAGATTGAATAATCATAGTCCTTAAATATATGTGAATTTTTAAAAAGTCTTCAAACGTAAGATATGTAGAAACAGTAAGTCTTCAGTTTATGTCAGCATCTAGTGTTTAACTTTTAAGAATATACATTTAATGTTATTTGTAATGTCCTGAGAAATGAAAGAGAAAGTGAGGTCTTTGTTACAGTAATTTACTCCCGTAGTTTACTGTCTTTCGGTAGATATTATAGCATTTTGCTGCCCTTGACTTTTCAAAGAGCTTTCTGGCAGTGGCAGCAGTTGATTTAGGTGAAACTGTAGAATTGTTAATATTCATGGGAGGGAGCCTGTGCTGCTTCCCAGTTAAAAGGGTGAGAACTAGAGCATGCTTTCCTGTTGCACTGGCTTTCTTTTACCTTTCGTACTATCCTGATGTTTTGCGGAGGCAGTGGGAGGGAATTGTTCGCTTGACTTGTATCACTGGACGACTCCTCCACTGCTGGAATGATGTGTAGGCTGTGTTGACTAAGAAGGCAGTGAGTACCTACCCACTGCCAGCAGGGACAGTACAACTTTCACTCCATTTTACTCGGCTCCCAGCATTTCGGTAGAACAAATTAGAAGCTATATTTATTCAAAGGGTGTAGAGTTGTTTTGAGTTTAAAACTTCTCCTGGCTGTGTTCAAGCATCTCAGGCATTTGCTTCTATAATGTTGTTATAAAATTTGTTAAAAAGATCTTAGATAACTGACTTAGTGGAGAACTGCCTGCCTCATCTTAACCCATTCAGCCGTCTCCTAGGATCCTATCCTGGTTAATAGCTTAAATCTACCAAAGTAAAGACATTTTTCCAGCAGAAACAGCATCTATAAAGAAAGGGATCTATATTTCAGAAAAATGGGAGAGTATTGGGAAATAGTCAGAAGGTGGGCATTTTGCCAGAAAATGGGTATCTTGAAGTGTGTGTGTAATTTCTGTGAAAAATCCCAAACATACACAGAGGTGGAAAGAAAAGTTTAATAAACCTATAACCAATTTTGTTTCTTCTACATCTCCACTATTGCTTTCCTCCCTCGACCAGATTATTTTGAAGAAAATCCCAATTATATCATTTCAATACCCTGACACTTTTTAAACTCTGTTTTTAGTTAGGAAGCATGTTTGTTACTGAACAGTGTTTACCTAACATATTTGTCATGCTGGACCATTGAAAATAAGTCATTTATTTAGTGTTTAGTGTCTTGATCTTGATCTTGTTTAGCCAGGAATTTAAAGTAGAATTGATTGATAACAGTTCTGAATATGAGACAAGTAGGCGTTGAGATAGAATTCAACTGAGTGCTGAGCCATACTTGGTAGGGTGTTAAAAACTTAATGAATTGAATTAAATGAAGTAGAATTTATTGAGGAAGGTACCTTGGCTTCCAGAGACTAGCGTAGTTCTGAGATGATGGAAGAACGTTTAAAAGAACATCTTTTAAAAACTGAACTTTGCTGGGAAGTCCAGCCTTGCCAGGAGCTCCTTACAGAGTTCTGAGGCTTTCAGAGCAGATCAGTACAGCTTACTTTTATACCAGTAGAAGACTCTTTTCCTATAAGAGGTTATGCTTTATCTAAACCAAACTACTTAAAGAAAAAAGAGGAAGGAGCATGTGTCAGTTAATGGGCTATTGCTATGGGGCAGAAGAACTTTACTGCTCTTTTGAAGCTACTTCTATTTGATGATCTATAAATATATCTTGCTTAAGTTGGAAAGCATTTTCAGCCCTAAATGTGTTCTCTGATTGCACGTGACATTCTGCAGTTGTACGTTATAAAAATGACAGACCAGCCAACTACTGGCTACATTATTAGAAATAAAAAGAAAGCATGGCTTAAAATTTTTCTGTTTTGTTTTCAATTCTTAGTCATGTTTGATTGGGGAGCATTGTTTAAACTTGAAAGGCATCCATCTCTTTCAGAAAAATGGCTCAAATTATGTTGGATATGTATGTGTACAACAAGAATATAGATGAGCAAGTAGTTTATAAACAGCGTCTGTTCTTAGGAAGTTGGCTGTTTTAGGAGAGCGGTGTGGATGATTCTTTTGGAGATAAGTTGGATATTATAGTTGGAGGATTTATTGGCTATCAAAAATAATTGGGTAAGGAATTTAATTAGATATTGAAAGTCTCTTGAACAAAATAAGCATTTAAGGCTTACTAAATTACAGACCTACTTCCTATTTTAAGTGTTAATTTTATGTGTTTCTCTATGAACTCTTTGTGCGTTTTATCTGAATTTATTGTCAGCGTTTACAAAGCCCTAGTGTTTACAGAAAATTGAGCAGATTTGGACATTCTACCTTACATTTACTTTTTGAGCATCTGCAAATTTGTAACTAAGGAAACAAAAACTCTTTAAGTTCCTGGGGAAAGCTACCTGGTTGTTTGCTTTGGGGATTGCATTTGAAAGTATGACCATCTTTTTTTTGCTGACGTCACATGCTCCTTTCTTTAGGGACTTGTCCCTAGTATGGTAGTAACTTCGGGGCAGATTTGTTTCACGTACTGACGTGTAAGGGTTACAGGCAAGGCTTGCCTTTCATGGTCCTTTGATGAACTGAGGAGCAGATATCATGGCTGTTCTAGGACTTGTTGACAGGAACCACTGCTTTTGCTACTAAAATCCATTCTGTGGTGGAATTCTGTGGTAGCCTCATTATGTCTGCATTGATAGGACAGTTTAACCTGACTGTCTGGCATGAGGTTTATGCTTTGATGGGGAAAGCAGGACTGGGATAGGGGTCGGACAGAGAGTTGGTGTGAATGAGATCCTGAGGGAGCAGTGATATGGGAGGGGTGGGGGTGAGGTTTTACTGGGAGAGGGAACTGAGAGACATCAGCACTGAAAACAAATGCTCCTCTGTTGTGTCTTTTTCTCTATGTTGGATTTATTGAGATGGAGCTGCTTGTTTTCATCCATACCTCTCCCCTTTTGGTCTCCTAGTGCCAAAGACGGCTAGACTAGTTTCTTAAAGTTTGTAGAAAACCATCACAGGCAATTTGAGATGGGTAGCTGATAGGATAGCTGGGCATATCTTCTTAGTATGTGCCATAACCCTTCTCTTTGATGAGATTCCCTGTGATTCCAAGGGAGCTCATTCCAGAGCTAATTGAAAGAATGGCTTTTGGTGGGGAGGGACCTGGTTTCCAGATAATTATGTTATACTTCAGGACTCAGGTAAGAAGTCATGTTTACTATGACACTTTAAAGGAATTTTAGTCTGTTCAGAACAGGTTCCTTCGTTATTTTTCCCTGAGATTGTGGGATAGTTATCTCTGGACCTTAGTGTCCTTATCTGTAAAATGGAGATAAATTACGTTACTTAACAGGACTTTTTTTTTTTTTAAAGATTTTATTTTTTTTCCTTTTTCTCCCCAAAGCCCCCCAGTACATAGTTGTACATTCTTCGTTGTGGGTCCTTCTAGTTGTGCCATGTGGGACACTGCCTCAGCGTGGTTTGATGAGCAGTGCCATGTCCGCGCCCAGGATTCAAACCAACGAAACACTGGGCCGCCTGCAGCGGAGCGCGTGGACTTAACCACTTGGCCATGGGGCCAGCCCCTTAACAGGACTTTTTTGAGGGTTAACTGTGTTATTACATGGAATGCCCTTTGCACAGTACCTGGTACAAAGTAAGCACTCAGTAAATGCTATCTATTGTTACTATTAACATTACTATTATTAGTAGAGAGTTATAAATATGCACCCCCTGGAAGTAAGCAAATGGTCATTTAAGAGAGGCTATCTGAAGCACCACCTAAGCAGCATATCACTCACAGACTCAGCTTTCCTATGTTCTGTGAAGATTGAAACAACAGAAAACTCCTGCTAGTTAACTTTTATTTTTAGCGCTCTGGTTCCTTTTGTACTATGGTGTTTTGATACAAACACGTAAGCAAACCAGGTAATACAAACATTTGTTCTCTAATTTCTAACTCTGTGTCTTAGATGTCCAAACAATGATTTGCTTTCAATCAGTTAACTGTGAACTATGAGTTAAATTGCCAAGGTAAGGTGATTATAAAAATATTTTTACTTTTCTACAAAGTTCTTCCCACTCTGCTTGCATACCCCAGGATAGCCTTAATCAGGACATTTGATTTCTTTGGTGGACTTACAGATGTTTATTAAGAATCAAGGTTTGGTTGGTTTATATACCTGGAGTGATTCAGATTTATGATCTGTCTCCTTATAAAACCAGAAGCTTCGTGTCATAGTTAGGGTACATTAGTCAGCCTCTGCATCTTCCAGTAGCGTCAGAGCCTCCTGCTTTGCATCTGCCATCCTGTGGCTCAGCTTCAAATGCCGTGTCATAGTGTGCCTGGTGGTTGCTGAGACAACGGCCAGGCTACCTATAGATTAAAGCCCTACTTAAATACAGGGCTGTGTCTATCTCTGTTAAGCTTAAACCTTCTAAATTCTGTGGACCCTTTAGAAAATTGCTTAATACTTTGTTTCTTGACTCCTCTTAAATACTGGGCTTAAATATTCTGTAGGTTTAATTCATTAACCAAGGTTATGTTGTATGGAATATCACTTGAAATATCGATTCATTGCCTAGAATGTTGGATGCTTTTCCATATGGGTAAGTCAGAAGTATAAAGTTTTCTCAATTTTTTATTTAAAAAAAATTGTGCATTACTTTAAGAAAGGCTATTAGTTTTGGTTTGGTTGTCTTGTGTTTTGTTAATGGAGAAGCTTTCTTAGAGAATTAGACAAGTTGATATAAAAGTTCATGTGGAAAGACAAACGTGCAAGAATGGCCAGGAAAACACTAAAAATCCCTCAAAACCTACATGAGGGAACCAGCCCTAACCTATAGAAAAACATACCATAAAGCCGCTGTAATTAAAGCAGTATGGTACTGGTGCATGAAGAGAGAATAGACTAGTGGGATAGGCTAGAAAGCAGAAATAAACCAAATGTCCATGAGAATTTAGTATATGGTAAATTAAGGGCAAAGGTGGACTTTTTAATAAATAATGCTCTAACAACTGCATAACCATTTGGAAAAAATTAAAATTAGATTCATACTTAACACCATAAAAAGAAAAAACTCCAAATGGATCAGCAATGTAAATGATAAAACAATGAAAGCATACATGTTCTAGAAGAAAATTCATTACTGTAAGAAAAAACTATCTAACTGACTCAAAAATACACAGGGAATAAAAAAAAAGATTGGTAAATGTTACTGCGTAAATGTGGGGTGCATAGCCCTTCATGGGGAAATACAAGAGGCATTTCCATTAAGAGAAGAACAAGGCAATGATGCCTATTATCTCTGCCACTCTTCACATTATACTAGAAGTTTAGCCAGTGGTATAATTAGATAAGAGAAATTAATGGTGGAGATGTAAGAATTGGTAAAGAAGTAAAGTTATCTCATTTGTGGATGATGTGATAGTATACCCGGAAAACCCTAGAGAATCCATGATAAAACTAATTTGAGTGATAAATGAATTCTATAAAGTGTGTTGTTAGTGCTCTCAAGTTGATTCTGACTCCTAGCAACCCTGTGTACAGCAGAGTGGAACACTCTCCTCTCTTTATGCCATCCTCTCATCATCCGGAGCTATATCAGACAGTTCTCTGCTGCTATTCATAGGGTTTTCATGGCTACTTTTTTCGGAAGTGGGTGGCCAGGTCCTTCTTCCTAGACTGTCTTAGTTTGGAAGCTCCACTGAAACCTGTCCACCATGGGTGACCCTGCTGGTATTTGAAATACTGGTGGCATAGCTTTCAGCATCACAGCAACATGCAGCCTCCACAGTATGACAACCGACAGATGGGTGGTGTGGTTCCCTGACTGGAAAATGAATGTGGGCTGCAGGGGTGAGAGCACCGAATCTTAACTACTAGACCACCAGGGCACCATACAAAATTTAACGTACAAAAACAATAGCTTTTGTATACACAAATAATAACTGGTTAAAGGACATAAAAGGAAAAAAACTCAGTTTACAGTAGCAACAGAGAAGATGAAATACTTAGGAATAAACCTAAAGAGAAATGCGCAGACCTCTAAGAGAGAAACTCAGAAGTGGACTTGAACAAATGGGAAGATAGCCCTTTTTCTTGGCTAGGGCAGCTCAACGTTATAAAGACGTCTGTTCTCCCAACATTGATTTATAAATTTAATGCAATACCGAAAAAATATCAGCAGGTTTGTTTCTATGGAGTTAGACAACTTGATAATAAAGTTCACTTGGAAAATTAAACATGCAAAAATTATTAATGGTGGTCCTTTTCTTTAGGATAACTGGGATGATGATGATGACGAAAAAAAAGAGGAAGCAGAAGTAAAACCAGGTGAGCCACAGGAGTTCCTCCGTTTTTGGTTTTGTGTCTTCGTGAGCCTCTGGTGCTTATGTTAAGACAAATGACAGAATGCTCACAAAATTGAAAATTTTGTTACTTGGAAACCAAACATCTTTCCATTCTCACTTTATTCTCTTCTCCCTGCATTTCTTCTCTCCCCTCAAAATGTGATTGGATTAGATATCTGCCGTTTTTCTGTTTGAATGATATTGTTAGGAGAGAGTAGAGGGTGTGGCATCATAGTTGAGTGATCTAAGTCCTGCCTAAAGGACTGTGGGGAAATATCAAGGGAGATGTTTGGGTCTTAGGGGTCAGGTTGGAAAGGACAAAGGAAGACTCCCAGAACCTTCCCATTCTTGTTTGCCAGGAAATCACCATATGAAATTGGAGCTGGGAGAGGTTTGGTTTCGTGAAGTATACAAGTATCATGTCTGCCTCATCCGTAAACTGGAAAATATTCAACATAACTGTGATTAAAACATCTGTTTACTTCCAGAAGTAAAAATTTCAGAAAAGAAAAAAATAGCAGAGAAGATAAAAGAGAAAGAACGACAACAGAAGAAAAGGCAAGAAGAAATTAAAAAGAGGGTAGGTACTGTTCATTTTCTAAAGTATAAAATTCTCACATCAGCAGTAGTACAGCGTCTTAACAGGCAGCAAGTATTATTACCTAGCTATTTGAAGGGCTTCGTAAAGACTGTAAATAGACAGTATCAGATAAGTGAGTCTCCAAACTGAATTTGTGGTTTTTGCAAAAACTAACCCTGGAAGCTTTATGTATTAGATTGCCTTCTAAGTTTTCACAAGCATTCGGGAACAGCGATGATTCTGTAGTGACCACAGTCAGTGATTTTTGCGAGTGCCTGCAGTTCTTTCTAGTTGTGATCAGTCTTTATTTGCAGTGTTCATATCGAGTGAAATAAAAATATTGTTTCTCTGCCATCTAAGTGTTTTATATAAGTGTTTTTGTTCTTGATTATTTGGAGCAAGATCAGGAATATTAATTGATTTGTTTTTTGAATAGGAAACACATTTACATGATTCAAAAATCAAAACAATATTAAGAAACACTCCCAACCCTTGACTCATTTATTCTTTTTCTCTCCCTTTATCTCTTAAGTAAATATTGATTTCTTACAGCTCCAAGTTGTCTTTATGTATTTGGATACAATTATATATTCTTACTCCTCTTTTAAGTTTGCACCTTATTTAATGTATCATGGAGATCTTTCCATATCAGATCATAGAGAACTTTCTTGTTTTTTTCTTGACTCTCTTCATTAAGAAAAATTTCAAACAAAAAAGTAGAGAAAATAATGTAGTGAATAATCATACACATCACCTAAATTTAATAGTTGTTAATATTTTGCCATATTTGCTTCATTGATTCTTTTTTTGCTAAAATATAATCAAGTAAATAACAGTGTGCATTTTACCTTTAAATACTTCAGTATGCATCTCTGAAAAAACAAGAATATTTCTCACATGATTATATACCTAATATAATGAATGATAATTTTTTTTTAACATTCCAGTAGTAACATTTAATGAGTACTCATTCTGTGCCAGGTGCTGTTCTAAGCCTTAGACATGTATTATCTCATTTAACATTCCCAATGATTCAGCAAGGTAGGGGTATTATTATCCCACTTTACAGATGAGGCACAGGGAGGTAAAGTAACTTACCTAAAGTCACACGCTAGAAAGTGACAGAGGCAGGCTTCAAACCCAGGCAGCCTGATTGTACTCTCATGGGTACCAGAAGCTCCTACATTTTGTAGACCTATAGTAAACTTTTTTGTTGATGATGAGAGTGATTGCATTATTTAGGAGTCCTTTGGTTACAGGGGACATAAAGCACATCAAGATGGCTCCAATAATGAATGATAATTTTTAACATCATCTCATATTCAGCTGATAGGTATTTTTCTAATTGTCCCAAAATGTCTCTTACATATCGTTTGTTCAGATGAAGACCTTGCATTGCACTTGGTTGTTAATATATCCTAAGTCTCCTAGATTGACTGTCTCTCTCTTTCTCTTTAAAATGACATTGACTTATTGAAGAGAGTGGCCAGTTGTCTTATGGAACATCCTACCTTCTAGATTTGTCTGATTGCTTCATTATAGTTGCAATTTCCTGTAACTTGGCAGTTAAGTCTAAAAGTTTGATTGGATTCAGAGTAAGCATTTTTTATTGGAATACTTTAGAAGTAATGCTGTGTGCTTCATACTGCATCACGTCACATCAGGAGTCATATAATGTCTGTCCTATTATTAGTGATGCTAAAATTGATCACTGGGTTACTGTGGTGACAGCCTGATTATAAAATTCTATGTTACAATGTTAACTCAGGGCCAGTCTTCCTCAGCAAAAAGAAGAGGATTGGAAGCAGATGTTAGCACAGGGCTAATCTTCCTCAAAAAAAAATAAAAATAAAAATAAAATTCTATGTTACAGGATTCTATTATAAAATTACATGTTTCTTCTTGCAAGTAATCCAGTTTTATGTCCAGTTCTCACCCAGTAGTTTTAGTATCATTCATGATCATTGACTAATTATTTCATTAGGGATTGCAAAATGGTGATTTTTCTTACTCTGTGACTTCTCTTCCATTTTTTATTGGCTGGCTTTTTTTTCTCAAACATCCATTCCTATCCTCTCCTCTCTATTCCCTATCACCTCCATAGGAAACCATTTTCATTGATTTCTGGTTTATTCTTCCTCATTCTTTTTTTTTTTTTTTTTTTACCTTTTTTTGTAGCTAGGTGATATTCCATTGCCTAGAGGTACCATAATTTATTCCATCAGTGTTCTATTGATGGACAGTTAGATTTTTTTTTCCCAGTCCTTTCCTTAATAAACAGCGCTTCTGGGAATAATCATATATGTGTGTCATTTCTAATTGGTGTAACCATATTTGTAGGATAAATTCCCAAATGTGAGATTGCCAGGTCGAAGGGCAAATCGCATTTGTAGTCTTGATAAATGTTCCCAAATTGCCTTCCATATGGGGTTGCACCAGTTTACCAACAATGTGAGAGTGCCTTTTTCCCCCAGTCAGGAACATTTTAGATGTTTTTAAATAATTTGTATATCTAAAAATATCTACATATGTATTTCTGTGATCAGAACAAGCAATGGAATCTTTAAGTCGGATAAATTGTATTGATGCGTCTTTCTTAGTCATTAAAGTTAGAATTATACTTATTTTGTTGTATCTTGATATTAGTCTCCAACATAAAGAAAGCTTAGTTTGAGTGTACTCAGTTTATCTTAGGCCAAGTATTGAGTTAAGATATATTCAGTTTTGATGCAGGAAATACTTAATGATGTCCACGTCTGCTAAGACAGTTAAGTAGAGATATGTCCCTTTTTCATTCTAGAAAGTGTTCTGAGATTTCCTAACATGGCATAATGACCTTTCTCATTTCATCTGCTCCATGAGAAGTAAATTGTGATCTGTTTCAGAAGTGGACTTCTGAATCAAAATCTTCAAACTACACAGGCATGGATAACCATGAATGGCACAAATTCCCTTCAGTTTTTTCCCACTTTAAAAAAGATAGTAAAAGTAATACGTATTTGTTGTAGAAAATTATCTCACAGTATGTAGAAATGATATATGCTAAACTGTTAACTGTCATCTCAGAGGAGTGGGATTAGGAAATAATGACAGCTCCTATTGTATGTTTTTGTTACAATGATAATGTGTTACTTTTATAGTAATACAATATAAGATAAAAAAATACAGGGAAAATGTTTTTCTGAGCCTTTGAAAAAAACATGTTTTTTAATGTCTACAAGTATTGTCATATGGATGTGCCATACTTTATTTAACCATTCTGTTGTTGAACGTTTTAGGTTGTCTCTGAATTTATTTGAAATAATAAATAATGCTCCATTGGACATCCTTGTGGTTAAATATTTGTATGCATCTTTGGTTTCTTAAGATAAATACCTAGAAGTGGAATCATTTGATTAAAGTGTATAAAAATATGTTATGATTTGGTACATATTACCAAGTTTCCCTAGAAAGGTTATTTCACTATATAGTCTTAGCAGCAGTATACGAGAATGCCATTTTCACCTTGTCTCTAATCTCAATTTCTTATTTTTAAAGGGCCATAGAAATAAGCTCAGTTTTCTGGATTCAAATCTCAGCTCTGTCACATTACCAGCCACGTCAGCCTTCTGTTACCATAGGCAGGTTGCTTCAAACCTTTCTGTGCCTCAGGTTTTTTCCTGTAAAGTTAGGATAAGAATATCTAAAGTGTTTAGAAGAATGTGTGAAATACAGTAAGCACTTAGTGTTTATTGTTATTTATAATTGTATGTGCTTATAAAAAAAAATCATACAATACGGAAATGTACTGAGTCCAGCATAATCCCAGCCCTTTAAAATTTAATTTCTGTCTCATTTTAGTTAGAAGAACCTGAAGAACCTAAAGTGTTAACACCAGAAGAACAATTAGCAGATAAACTCCGGCTAAAGAAATTACAGGAAGAGTCAGACCTCGAATTAGCAAAAGAAACTTTTGGTAAGTGGGGGTGTGATTGCAGTGCAATATTGAAGTTCGAAGTGAATACTGTGGAAGTCTTACTAGTTATGAAAGTTCAGAAAATGCCTCCTTTTTGAAGAAACATGATACTGGCTCATTTAGCAGTTTTTTAATCTGTTTATATTTGAGATTTCATTACTTAGAGTGAGATACGTGTTCAGATTTTTGAATAATTATGTTTTGAGTATCAAATACAAGATTATTAAGATAAAAAGTCATTGGACCCAAGTAGGATATAATGCTGCTTTAAATGTATTTATCAGCTGGATGAAATGTGAGGTCTGTAGCTTTGGGATTTAACTATTGAACTGACTTGTAGGGCTGTGCTGTTGTCTTAAGTCTGGGTATGACTTAGACAGTAGCATGCTGGTCCTGATGGGGCATTCAGCTTCTGCTGTGCCTTCTTGTGCTAAGAGTCATTTCTTTTTGCAGCCGTTCTTGGCCCTCACCATGCCCTATCTGTAGAGGGCTTCCATTTTTGTGAGCCATGCCTGCACTGTCGTTAGTGCATGAGGTAACAAACATGTTCAGGATCCTGTAAAGAGAAAAGTTCGGAGTGTTTATGTGGCACAGAGGGTAGGGTAAGAAACATGACCAGAGAAATAGTTAGTATTTAAGAGCTCTCACTTCATTTAACCAAGTTTGTTGTTGTCATTACCCATTGAGTACTTTTCAGAGTAGAAGACTGTGTTGAAAAAGTTAAATAACTTTGAAATTGAGACTTAGAGCCAAGAATGATCTAGTTATCTTGATTTCCCCCCACCCTTCCTCTTCTTTAAGATGGATCAAGCAGGCTGACTGTAGTGATCATTCTCCTTTCCACGGAAGTGTGACCTTCTCTCTCAGTGGGTCTCTAGCAACCTGAAGAGTTGCTGTGCTGTGTGTTTGGCATGTTTGAGCTGTACTCATCTCATTACAGAGGGCACTCGGCCATTATCCTGTGTCTTCATTGGATAGTAAAAGCTTCTATGTGTTTATTACAGAGAAGGGTTTATGCAGTACCCGTAAATCCTAATATGGGACACCAGTTACAGATTAAAAGGCAAACACGTGCATTCATATAGTCATCGTTTGGATTTTAATGTTGTGTTTCTTATGCTAAAATACTGAATCAGTGATTTTGTCTCTTAGCCTAGAATCCTTTTCAGCCAGATTAATTGTTCTGTTGGAATTTAACATATGGTTTACCCCTGCTTAGCTTCTGGAGGTAGTTAGCTGGATATTTTCACAGGAACCATTTTGTTTTATTTGCTTTTTTCCTTTTCTCCCCACTTTACCCGTGGGCTGTTCTTGGACAAACACTTTAAGAGCATCCCTTTTATGCTGGAGATTCCTTTGGCAGTCAGCTGAAGTCTCTGGGCCTCTTAATATGTTTTTAAATGCATAAAATAAAAAACACAGGATTTTACTTATAAAGGAAATCTGTTATATTGAAATAAGTATCAAAATATTAAAATACTTCTGTGATACAGTGATTATGTGTTTCTTTATTAATGCATTAAGATTTATTGGCAGGTCTAATAAATAATGTAATTTGAAGATAATGATGACTGTGAATAATATTTCAAGATATCTGCAACAACTGTAAGGTGGTATGAAAATATCTGATCTCTATTGGTAATAGTCAAGGATTGCTGATACCACTGTGATTTGTTGCCTGTAATCAAAATGAAAGGAAATGCTAAATTAGAGGTTAGTAAAAATAAAGCTATTATTTTTATTTCTCGTCCAAATTTGCAGACCCCCTGAATTCTGTGCAAGGATTCCAGTGGACCCAGGTTAAGAATTTCTGCTTTAGAATGAAATAGCAGGGTTATCCAGATAGCTAATTGATTTATAAACTTTTAAAAATCTTTCTGATATTTTCAGTGCTCCCTTTCTCCTACAGGTGTTAATAATACAGTTTATGGAATAGATGCTATGAACCCATCTTCAAGAGATGACTTCACAGAGTTTGGAAAGTTGTTAAAAGATAAAATTACACAATATGAAAAGTCACTATATTATGCCAGTTTTTTGGAAGCCTTAGTTCGAGATGTGTGTATTTCATGTAAGTAATTCTAATCTCGAGCCCCTGTGGGCTGATTTTAGTTAATAGGGGCACATCATACTCAGGAAGATGGAGGTTAACTTTTCTTTGGATGCTATAATTTAGATTTCAGATTTGCTTTTTAGCAGTTACCTTGGGAATGTTGTTCTCAAATAACTAGTTGGGGTAGTTTTGTTTTTGCTTTTTGATGCTGCCTTCTTGATGTTTTTACAGTGGCTTCCCAAAGAAACACCTGGGCTTTGTTAATACAGCAGCTAATAAAACACTGGCTTATTTTGTTATCTAATTATATCTTGAAAGGGGCTACGAAGTTTCTTTTGGGGAAAATGGTCTCTGGGCATACAGGATTTTAGAGCTGAGTGAGACCACAGGGAGTTATCTGTTCATTTTCCAAATGTGGAAGCCTATGACCAGGTGCAAGTTGCTCAACAGATCTGGCACCCATTCTCTGGGTCCATGGGTGTGGTGCCATGACCTGAGAGGAGTCATACATTTCAGGGGCAGGGTGTGGGACCAACAGCCAGGGGTGGTGTAGCTCTAATGTAGAAGGGACTGGTTTTGCTAGTATTTTCTGTTTTTAAGATTGAGAAAAAGGAATTCTACACAATGAATTCTAAATTGGGTTTTCTTTGAGAAATTATGACTAAGCTGGGGTTCTGAATTTGACCAGTGAGTGATATATACCCATAGTTGGTATTTTATTCTGCATGTACAGTCATATGCCGCATGATGATGTTTTGGTCATATACAGTGCTGCATACACAGCAGTGGTCCCATAAGAGTACCGTATAGCCTATGTATGTAGTAGGCTATACCATCTAGGTTTGTGTATGTACACTCCGTGAATGTTCACACAATGGTGAAATCGCCTGATGCATTTCTCAGAATGTCTCTGTCATTAAGTGACATATGATTGTACTATTTTTCCTGTCTTTTTTTTTTTTTTTTTTTTTTTTGGGGAAGATTAGCCCTGAGCTAACATCTGCTGCCAATCCTCCTCTTTTTGCTGAGGAAGACTGGCCCTGAGCTCACATCCATGCTCATCTTCCTCCAGTTTATATGTGGAACGCCCACCACAGCATGGCTTGCCAAGCAGTGCCATGTTTGCACCTGGGATCCGAACCGGCGAACCCTGGGCTGCCGAAGCGGAACGTGTGAACTTAACCGCTGTGCCACTGGGCTGGCCCCTATTTTTTCTGTTTTTGAAAGTGCTCTCTAACCAAAACTGAACACTTTTTTGGTAGCTAAAAACTCGTGTCTGTTTCTAGCTTTATATTTTTATAACAATGGATGAATGTATTGTCCACTAAACAGGCTTGTCTCCTGGTAGGACGCTTGAGATTTGAGATATCTACTATTTTCATTTTAGTTCCTCTGCTAGAAAATGGAGACCCCAAGGGGTGGGGAGTTGTCATCTGTAGCTTTCAGAATTGTTCCATGTTCATTCAGCTTCTCCTCACTGAGCGTGAAGGATACGTTATGGAAGGACGTGGGTTGGGTTATCCTCTGTGTGTTGGAGACTGGGTAAGGAAGGATGGTAGGGAGCACTTGTGAGCTTTAATGATACTTCCAGTTTGTCTTTGATCAATGGTGTCGTGTTGATTACAGGTCATTATAAATTTTTGTTGTTGAGTTTCCCATTTTAAATAGTTCTAATTTGTAAGCCTAGTCATAGACTGAATGATTCTTTACCATGTTTTGTTAAACAGGGAGAAATTCCTGGCCTTTTCAAAGTTACTGAAGTTAATGATGGACAAATTAGATTTCTCATAACACTTGTGAAAGAGTGTATATTTTGCTTTTTCATATTCCTCAAAATGCTTAAAAATTAGTGGTATGCCTTTTCTTTTAGTGGAAATTGATGACTTGAAAAAGATTACCAATTCATTGACTGTGCTTTGCAGTGAAAAACAGAAGCAAGAAAAGGTAAGGAGCAAGGTGTATGGGGAGATATGTATCACATTAGGATGGGAGTGTAGGCATAATATTCTCAAGTGTAGTAGGAGCCTGACCTAATAAACTTAAAAGTCAGGCAATTCACCAGTACCATTTAAATTGGAATAGAACAGGAGTGTGAGTGCCATGACCATCCTTTTGTTTACAGACATGTTCACAGTCGTCTTTTTTGAATTAATAGAAATTTCCCTGGGTTAGGTCTGGGATCTCCCTTAAGAGAGGTAAAGTTTTTCTGGGACCAGAGGCTTTGGGTCTCTATGAGGGTTGCTATTACCAGATAAGATGCCCATAATAGATAAAATCTCATGAATTAACTCTCTCTTATCTTTAGCAAAGCAAAGCCAAAAAGAAGAAGAAAGGTGTGGTTCCTGGAGGGGGATTAAAGGCCACCATGAAAGATGATCTGGCAGATTATGGTGGTTATGATGGAGGATATGTACAAGACTATGAAGACTTCATGTGACATTTTATCTTCTCCTGGTGTCTTCTTTCTGTTGCCCACAATCCCTTCAACATGTAGCACAACTTCCTTTCCTTTCAGTTCTGCCAAATGCTACAATCAGAAGTGCAGTATCTTTTGTGCTGGTAATTTAACCCCTTGACAACTTAGGTGCTAATGTGCAAAAGAGGGAACTTGGATCTTGCTGCCAAGGGGTGAAAATTGGGAACCTCAGTTGCTACTAAATCATAGTTTAAAAAAACAAACCTAATAATGTTGTCATTGTTGCTATCTGATTCCATAGCAGCAGTCACTAAATTGGAAACAAAGGTTGCAGCACGACAAAAAATTGTGTAGTATTTACCAGCACCCTTCAGTAATACAGCCTTAACCATACCTCCTTGAACTACTTCATAACTTGTCAAGAAAAGCAGTTTGCAGCAAGGGCATGTGGTATGCACCTAGTATTATAATTGCTTTGTCTTAAAATTGAGCGTGAGGATATTAAAAATACATTGTGAAGAAGACTGCTTATCTCAGAGTGAAGATACAGCGGCTGAAAAGCACTAGTTTGATACTTAAAAATTAAATGACCAAAACCCTCCAACTTTGAAGCTGAAGAACGTAAACCTCTCCAATATTGCATTACAAGTTGTGGAATCTCTTGAATGCATAGACTGTCCAGTTTATATTTATCAGACTCTTCTACTGATGGAGTGCTTCACATGGGGGAGGGAAACTCTTTACCTGTTTTATTTGCCTGATTTAAGTGTCTGAGAAACAAATATCCTTTGTTTTCCTAGGCTGCGATGGAATAACTTTAACAGGGTTTTGGCATTTCCTTTCCTTTATAAAACATGCTCAGCAAACTGCACCAGTTAACTACAGTTTGGTAAATTGTTATGTTAACAATTATGACATCTGCAATGTTTTATAAAGCAACTAATTTAATAAAATCACTATTGTGAGGACTTAAATTTTGTGTTATCTCCCAAGAGAGATTTTTGGAAAGAATAGAACACAGCTCTTGGGACCAGAGTTCTCTATATACTTAATAAAGCTTAATAAGTGCTTGACGAGTAGTTTTAGCTGTAAACAAAAATGATTTGCCAGGCCCTTAATAGTGTCACCCTAGAGCAACAAAGGTATAGGGCTGCCTTATTATTATTTATTGGGGAAATTATTTGGTTGTTTAGATCCTAAGGCCTAAGTATCTAGAAGAACTATTTATTTGGGGTAGTTGAGCTTATAACTCAGGTTATAGCTGTAAGCATAGATTAGCTGATCTTTATTATATATTTTCTTTTAAGCAATTTAACCAAATTTGTGGTTGGGGTCTTTTTGAAACTGTCACAGAATCAAAAGTAGGGACAGAACAAAAAACGTTTTTAACTTGTCTTACATAGGAAATAGCCTCCGTCAAGGCTCTGTAGATCACCAAGTGGAAGATGGCACCATCTACTGATCTGAGGAATTAACAGAAAGCAGCGACTACACAGCAATAATCACAGCAAATAAAGATTGTTTTAAGGCAGAGAAGGGCTAAGATTTCCTTAGCAGTAATAATGACATAACACTGAATTTAAATATATTTTATTACAGAGATCAGTTTCTAACAAATGGAAATGTATCATCTGTTCCTTAACTGTGTAAATAATATTAAATTCCTTTGAAACTGGAATCTGCAGGCATAGATATTCTTTAATCGATATTGTATCATCTCCTAAAGTAGAAGCCATCCTGAGGAAGATGGAGCTTTTGATTTTAATACGAACATCTATATAAAATGGTATAGATGAAAATTAGTCTTACATAGGAATTTCCTTGTGAAAATTCTCTTATTCTTTACCCACTATTCACAAAGGACTTGTATGATCGGTCCTGGGGTTTTGCAACTTGGACAACAAAGATCCCCAATGCATCACTCTGCTCTGATCACAGACAGCTGTCGATACCTCATTTCAGTACAGGAAAACAGGCACCCATGAAATCTTGGCAGTAGCCACCCTTGTGTCATCTGAGTCCATCTAACCTGCTAGCATGTCCTTTAAACAGCACCCTATCTGAGGGTCCTTCAGAAGCACATTTACAATATCACAAAATTTGTGTTCATAAGCTAGTTTGTAATACAAGTAGACATCTTCACAATACGTGAGTAACTTCTTCAGGTTTTTCACAACTGTGTCGGTAGGCTGATGTTGTTTATATCTAGATAAAGAAACATCAGAATGTACAGGTTAAGATACTGTATCTTGATTGAGGGCTGTCAGCTCTGACTTATCACTAGAGAGGAGAGGGTGCTGGAGTATGGGGAATTATCTAAGGCTAATATTAGCGGGTGCTTGATAAACATTGAAATTATTTCATTAAAAATGAGTATTTAATGCTCACTTTTATTAGAATAAGTTCAGTACTCTAAAGGGGACCTCTGATGTTAGAGATTTCGGCACCTGAGGCAGGCTGAGTAGCCATCCTCCCTTTTTATGTACAGAGCACCATAAGAAAAGTGTTTTCATTCATCTCTTTGCATAAATGTGTTAAAAGATCTCTTCCTTCTGGGGATTCTTGAGATCTCTGCCATCTCTAGCAGAGGGGTAGCTATATGCACTGTTAGACTTAGCCATGAAATTCTTACTCATGCCTTATCTCAAAGCAGAGGCATTTTAATACTTACTTTTTTGAAATCTCTTCAAATATATTGGATTTTAATAACCTTTGCTGCTTAAACTCTTCCAAGTAATTAAAGTCTCCTTTAAGAATCACTCGTTGGTATAGAATTTCAGCCCAATCAGGAACAAAGTCATAGGCCTCCGCCACAATAGAAGCCTTAAAAGGATGGAGGGGAAAAAGGACACCATTAGAGCCTACTTGACGTTAAATTGAAGGCAAATAGTTTTAGAAAACAGCTTAATACTGTATACTCATACAGTGAATGTGATCATTACCAATTATGTTAAAAGGCTGTATGTATCAGGGTTGGTGAAAAGTTTGGTGTTTGACACTTCTACTCCCTTAAACCCCCAAATACCTTCCTTCAGTCTTTTTAATCTTCCTCACCATGAATTAATAAAACTGCTGAGAAAGAATGTTTTTCCCCCTACTTCAACTGTATAAGGAACGGTGAAAGGGCTGATTCCTTGATTACCACCCCTCATTAAAGGGCTAGAACCAGCCTGCCAGAAGCCCAGACTCCCTATGTTGCCCCAGGTACACCTGCAGGGATGTTCCTCTGAACCTCAGCCGTCTAAGGGGCAAAGGTGTCTGCCTCTCTGCTGGCCTAACAGGGTGGGGGAAGGAGACGTTACTGTCTAACTATCCTCTAAGCTCTGCTCAAACAACATGCTAGCAAGAAATACTACCATGGAAAGGCAGTTTAATCTATCAGGTAGCTAAGTCAGGAGAATTGAACTGTCCTGATTCTGTCACTAGCTCTGAGACCTTAGGCAAGTAAGTCAACTTCTGGGTCCTTGAGAGGGACAGCAGGAGAGGATGCTGTCAGTGCTGGCCAGATTTTTCTTTCCTTGCTCACCTGGTAGAACCGAGGTAGGGTCATGATACAGTCCATCAGCCTGTGGCGGCTCAGGTTGATGAGCATTGTGTTCTGGCCAGTGTTCAGAAAGTGAATCTGCAGTGTTATCAACTTGGTGAGCCGATGACAGTGCAGGGCCTGTCGCACGCAAGAGTCCTGAGGGACAAGGGTGGAGGGAGGCACCGGTAGAGAAAGACTTGTCTTCATCTCTCCTGTTGAACCCTCCAGCAGCTGAATTCTCCCCTTCTACGTACCCCTAGTTGGCCCATGACTCCCTCCCCCTTCACTTGGAAGAGCCCAGGGACAAAATAATTCCTGCTGCAGACACCAAGCCCCAAAGGCAGTCTGGAATAAGACCTTCCATGGTTACCTTGGCATAACTCTCTGCTGCATCCAGCATCAGAGTCAGGGCCTTCAGCAGCAGCTGCTTCAGTTGGTGCCCATCTTTGAGGCTGTCCTCTGCAGGGGAGTAAAGGAAACTTGTTGAGTGTGTCTCACTCCCAAGGCTGGCTACTCTCACCCTACTCAGTGTTGGTGGGCTGGACTAGAAACATTCCAGCTCATATTCCCAGGGAGGCAGGTATGTCTTACTCAGGTAAAGGCCAGAAATGCACTCACTCTGGAGTAGGAGTCAGTGACCCATTTAGTTCATTTCTTTCTGAAACATCAAGGCATGCTTACACGGCATCTGTTCCTGATGGGTGACACAGGCTACACGAGGGGCAAATGCCTTCCAAGTCTCCTTCCATCTACTTTCTGCCCAGCTGGGGTCCCACTGAGTAGCTGTTAGAACCTGAGGGGGAGCAGTCAATCTCATGGGCTCTTGCCTTTCTTAGTCCTAAGAACCTCCCCTGGCTGGCAGCACTGTCCCCAGGGGTGCTGCTGTGACCTCTTCTCACCCCAGGGCTGAGACTCGATCAATTTCAGCTGGATGCAGGCAGCTGCCTCATGGTTCTCCCCAATCTCACGGCACATGCTGAAGCACAAGGCAATCATGTTGTGCTTCTCACTGTCCCCAGGGCGGCAGCGTTTGATGTAGTCGAGTAGGGCTGTCTTCAGGGTACCACTCTGCCCAGATAAAAAAGGAAATACCAAGGTCTCAACAGCTACTGCACGGTAGGCAGAATTGGCTAGGTCTCTTGGTTCTGAAAGTTCCTTAAAAACTCCCAAGAAAAAGGAAAAGATAGGCAAAAATAATTCCAAAGGTTATGCTATCCTGAGTATAAGAAAAGAGGCACCTCTCTGCTGGTGGGAGTGTGAACAGTAAAACCTGACAGAAGGGAGAAGCCTTAAAAATGTGCATACATGTTATTCTAACAATTCCACTTCTAGAAATCTATCTGTAAAGAAATAAGCATAGGAAAGTGCTAAGATGGCTGTACCAAGGATATTTAATAGCAAACAATTAGAAATCATCTACATGTCCAAAATAAGGGCTAAGAAGATACCATGTAGCCATTAAAACTGACGTTGATTTGAGAAATATTCATGATATGCTATTGTTAAGTGAGAAAAGCAGGCTATTTCATATCTGCACAGCATGATACAAGTTTTGTTAAAAATATGTAAATATGTATGTATATATGTTTGTGGGTACATGTGCAAAGAAAAGGCCTCTATCAAATTGTTAGCAGTGGCTGTCTCCAGATGGTAGATAGGCACAGAGGGCTTTTTCCTGTGTTGTGTTTTCCGAGTGTCTTAACATTGAATATGCATTACTTTTGTAAACAGAAAAAGTTATTAAGAGAGTATTTAAATGTAGAAACAAAAATGCCTCAAAAACAATTTAAAAACCCTCCGGGGGATCAGAAAGGTCATCTACGTCCAGGACTTGCTCCTCTCTGGACTGGTCTGTCCTGAAACTAGCCCAGCATTGAGGAGAGCTTTTCTGCTTTGTCTCTTAATTCTGCTTGGCTGGGCCCACGTTCCCAGAAGCCAAAAGTGCGCCTCATTTTTTAAATCTTCAGGGGTGAAATGGGCTGAAACAATGAATCAGCCAAATGAATGACTTGGAAACAGGCTCTGTGAGTGACATGCCTGATGTCACATTGCATGCTGAGGCAGCCAAGCACTCAGAGCCCAAAGGCCTTGGTACATCAGGCCTTTGCTTCCAAGCCTCCTTCCTGTGCTGTGAGTCATCATAAATAGCTCCACAGCTTTCCAGGCCCAGGCCTTGGCATTCACTTTCTAATAGCTCTTAGTAACACACTTTTTCATGGTCCCCTGAAAACTCTCCACTCTAAAAGCCCCCAGATACAGCCTTCCAAGTGGGTCAGTCCATTTCCGCTCTCAGGAAGGGTGTTTGCCCCTGCCAGAGCAGGCATTCAGAAGCAGAGGCAGGTGACAGAGGCTGAGGTGGAGGTGCACAAACTCATTTTCTTCATTGCTTAGCATCTGTCAGGATAATGGCTATCTGATCTGAACTCTGTAACCTTAAGCTACCGGTTA